AACCTTTTATTATTTTCTGGTGTTTTTTAGCTTGTTATGATTATCAACCTTTTATTATTTTCTGGTGTTTTTTAGCTTGCTATGATTATCAACCTTTCATTATTTTCTGGTGTTTTTTAGCTTGTTATGATTATCAACCTTTTATTATTTTCTGGTGTTTTTTAGCTTGTTATGATTATCGACCTTTCATTATTTCTGGTGTTTTTTAGCTTGCTATGATTATCAACCTTTCATTATTTTCTGGTGTTTTTTAGCTTGTTATGATTATCGACCTTTCATTATTTTCAGGTGTTTTTAGCTTGTTATGATTATCAACCTTTTATTATTTTCTGGTGTTTTTTAGCTTGTTATGATTATCAACCTTTTATTATTTTCAGGTGTTTTTAGCTTGTTATGTTTATCAACCTTTCATTATTTTCTGGTGTTTATTAGCTTGTTATGATCATCAAACTTTCATTATTTTCTGGTGTTTTTAGCTTGTTATGATTATCAACCTTTCATTATTTTCTGGTATTTTTTAGCTTGTTATGATTATCGACCTCTTATTATTTTCTGGTGTGTTTTAGCTTGTTATGATTATCAACCTTTTATTATTTTCTGGTGTTTTTTAGCTTGTTATGATTATCAACCTTTTATTATTTTCAGGTGTTTTTTAGCTTGTTATGATTATCGACATTTCATTATTTTCTGGTGTTTATTAGCTTGTTATGATTATCAACCTTTCATTATTCTCTGGTGTTTATTAGCTTGTTATGATTATCAACCTTTTATTATTTTCTGATGTTTTTTAGCTTGTTATGATTATCGACCTCTTATTATTTTCTGGTGTTTATTAGCTTGTTATGATTATCGACCTTTTATTATTTTCTGGTGTTTATTAGCTTGTTATGATTATCGACCTTTTATTATTTTCAGGTGTTTATATTCAAGATAATTCATGACAGTAGATTTTAAACTAAATCTGATTCTTATTTATATTATAATATTTGAATTCGTTTTTTTCTTATCCTTTATCGCTACTGTGTCACTAGAAAGTGAAACGAACAGGAAATTATTTCTATTAAATGATTTCTCCGGTGGGTAAGAGGTAAGTGTACGGAATTACAACGCTAAAATCTGGGGTTCGATTCCCCGCGATGGTACAGAGCTCGGATAACGTACTGTCTAGCTTTGTGATAAAACAAAGAAACCAAACGTATTAAAAATTGAACTGTTTATGAACATTTTAAACCATTAAGATAAACAAAGTTTATTCTTACATAAGTACGGATACAGCAAATCCATGTATTGAAACATTCACTTGTAATGGTAGGCATAATCAACGTATAACTTATTACCGCGTGCTTCTAACACGTGATTTGTGTAACAGGATATTTTAAAGATATGTAAATGAATTAGTTATCAGCTTACTCTGAACACATGTCACTGATTGATTCAGAAACAGACAAATATGTTGAACTGATTAATCTTAAAAAATGAAGGAAGATGTCACAACTGACTAGAGACTCGTCAACTCCCTTCTTCTCACCTCAAGAAAAAGAGGAGGAAGGTGCCAACATTTCAATTCCGTCCCCTACAAAAAGCTGATTGGTGAAAATGATCGTATTCTGATATCCACTCCAACAGAAGGAGAAACGTCAAACCTAGTATTCTGACCTCCACTCCAACAGAACGAGAAACGTCAAACCTAGTATTCTGACATCCATTCCAACAGAAGGAGAAACGTCAAAACCTAGTATTCTGACATCCACTCCAACAAAAGGAGAAACATCAAAACCTAGTATTCTGACATCCACTTCAACAGAAGGAGAAACGTCAAAACCTAGTATTCTGACATCCACTCCAACAGGAGGAGAAATGTCAAAACCTAGTATTCTGACATCCACTCCAACAGAAGGAGAAACGTCAAAACCTAGTATTCTGACATCCACTCCAACAGAATGAGAAACGTCAAAACCTAGTATTCTGACATCCACTCCAACAGAAGGAGAAATGTCAAAACCTAACATTCTGACATCCACTCCAACAGAAGGAGAAATGTCAAAACCTAACATTCTGACATCCACTCCAACAGAAGGAGAAATGTCAAAACCTAACATTCTGACATCCACTC